ATGGCTCTCTCCTGAGACAGGGAACTGCATGGCCCTCTCCTGAGACAGGGAACTGCATGGCCCTCTCCTGAGACAGGGAACTGCATGGCCCTCTCCTGAGACAGGGAACTGCATGGCCCTCGCCTGCTCTGTGCCCTGAATGTGCCAGTGGAGTCAGGGCTTACGCAGAACTTGCAGTGTTGACACTGCAAGTGTGTGCACGTTGTGGAGCCAAGGCTCTGAGGGACTGAGGTATGACACATTTATGGAGCTTCTGTTTGTAATGAAATCACACCAATCTGGTCATTTTTCTTTAAAAGAGTAAGCCTTGCCAGGCTATGATAGTAATTGGCCTGGAAAGGCCGTGCTATCCCCATTTTACAGATTTGGCAACTGAGGCATAGAAGAGAAGTGGTGTAGGAGGTTCTTCTGGATTTGTGTTGCTTTTATTGGTTAAATAAATAAAAAAACCTGCCTTGGCCTTTTGATAGGGCAGAACTTAGATAGGCAGGGAAAAGAGAACTGAATGCTGGGAAAAAGGAGGCAGGCAGAGAGAGCCGCCATGGAGTTGCCAGAGTCAGACATGCTGAATCTTTCCCAGTGAGCCATGACACTGTGGTGACACACAGTTTAATAGAAATGGGTTAAATCAAAATGTGAGAGTTAGCCAATAAGAGGCTAGAGATAATGGGCTAGGCAGTGTTTAAATGAATACAGTTTCTGTGTGGTTATTTCAGGTATAAGCTAGCCACGTGACCGGGATGACAAGCAGCCCACTGGCCCGGGTGTAAGCCAGTCTGGGACTGGACGCAGCCCACTCCTCCATACTACAGAGTGGCACCCAACGTGGTCAACTAATTCCATGTAAAACATGAGAGGGCTTGAAAAGGAATTCTAGACACACACACACACAGAGTTTAACATAGCTTTTTGCTGTTTGCTGGCGGTTTGCTGAAGAGAGATTTTCTTGATTCAGCTGTAGGAGGGGAGGGAAAGCCACGCCATTTTAAAATGCGGCTTCCTGGACTGTGCCACCAATGCGAACTCTGGCTATAAAGCATTTCAGTGACATTTGTGGGACCTGGGTGTTTCTGTGCCCACTAGGGTTGGGAGGAAAGTGGCTGAGACAATGCCTGTGACTCAGTGCTCCCTGCCTGGGCAGGCGGCGGGATCAGGTTTACTAGGTGTACACAAACAGGAGAGTATGGCAGACTTCTGACGCCATACAGAGAGATGTTTCCAGGCTGCGCAGTGC